CATCGCACCAGCTGTTCCATCCATCCACCTGCACGGCCTGCCACACCCCCCTCTCTCATTCTCCTCACTCCCTCGTTTCCCTCCCCTCTGGCCTTCCTCACTTCCTCCCCTCCCAGGCTCTCTTTGCTGCGTCCCAGTGGGCGGCACTGCAGCAGCTGTTCCACCGCACAGCCTGTGACCTGCATGGCCTGCCACACCCCCCACTGCTGCACATCTACATGCAGGCCGGGTTATCTGTACTCAAGACGCCGTAAGTGACTTTTTTTTAGAAATCTCAAACATGACTTATCTATACTCAAGACGCCGTAAGTGACTTTTTTTAGAATCCTCAAACATGACTTATCTGTGCTCAAGACACAGTAAGTGATGCCTGACGGATTGCTGAGGCGTGTCTGTTTGCTTGCATGCCTTCGGTTCCCCAACCCCCCTCTAGCACGTACACCCCCTCTGCCACACCCCCCACTGCTGCAAATCTACATGCAAGCTGCTGGGCTATTTATACTGAAGTCGCAGTGAGTCGTGTGCGTGACTGTCTGCTGACGCATGCACAATCAATTGGCACATGCCACAATCCCCTTCCTCCTCCGGCTCCCTTCTTTCCTCCCTCCCTTCCCTTTTGAGTCGACTCAAATGCGCCGCTTCCCTTCTTTCCTCTCTTCCTTCCCCTAGCCTGAGCTGCAAGGACGAGTACCCCAAGGCGGACCCCCTCTCCCGCGCCTCTTTCCCTTGCATTCACAAGCAGTTGCGCTCCCCCCATCCCCCAATCCCCTTCCCTTCAGCGATCCATTCCTGCACCCCGTCTTCCCTGCCTCCCCCCAGCCTGAGCCAAGAGGACAGGTGTCCCAAGGCGGACCCTCTTTCCCACGCCTCTTTTCCTCGCATTCGCTCGCAGTTCCATTCCCCCATCCCCCTTCTCAATCCCCAATTTCCCTTCCGCCATCCCTTCCCGCACCCCGACTTACCTTCCTCCCTCCAGCCTGAGCTACGAGGACGGGTGTCCCAAGGCGGACCCCCTCTCCCGCGCCTCGTTCCGCGAGCTGGCCCTGACCCTGCTCCTGTCCAAGCGCCGCCACCACTCGCAGCTCGTGTGCCTCATCCCGACTTCCCCCACCCCCCTTCCCCCATCTCCCTTCCCTTCACCTTCCCTTCCCAATCCCCTCGTCTTCTGTCCCTTATCCCCCTTCCCCATTTCCCCACCCCCCCTGCCCTTTCCCCCCTCCCTTTCTCCCCCCTTCCTCCCTCCAGCCTGAGCTACGAGGAGGGGTGCCCCAAGGCGGACCCCCTCTCCCACGCCTCCTTCCGCGAGTTGGCGCTGCCCTTGCCCCTCTCCAAGCGCAACCACTCGCAGCTCGTGTGCCGCATCTCGCACCGCGTGATGGACTACCACAACCCGCCGCTCGTGCTGCCCAACGGCTATGTGTACAGCAAACAGGTGAGAGTCCGAAGGAGGTAAGGGGGGGGGGAGGCGGGAGAGAAAGGGCGAGTGGTTGGTGAAGGGCTGTGGTTCGTCAATCTCCCACCTCGTCATGGCCTACCACAACCCACTGCTCGTGCTTCTCCATGCCATGCCATGCCATGCCATGCCATGCCATGCCATCCCATGCCATGCCATGCCATGCCATGCCATGCCATGCCATCCCATGCCATGCCATGCCATCCCATGCCATGCCATGCCATGCCATCCCATGCCATGCCATCCCATGCCATGCCATGCCATGCCATGCCATCCCATCCCATGCCATGCCATCCCATGCCATGCCATGCCATGCCATGCCATGCCATGCCATCCCATCCCATGCCATGTTTTTCCTACTGCACCATCGCCATCAGGCGATGGAGGACATGGCGCGGCGCAGCAACGGCCTCGTGACGTGCCCGCGGTCAGGGGAGACGTACCACTACAGCCAGCTCGTGAAGGCCTTCATCTTCTAGCCATGCTAGGGAAGAGAAGAGAGACACACAAGAGGCTCACCAGATGTCTCTATGGTCTTAGCCAGGCTGGGAGGGCATGCTTCTCGTGATATGCCCGACGTCAGGGGAGGCAGGGAGCGGTAGGTACCTTCCACTACAGCCTGCTCGTTACCGCTCCTGGCTTTCTCAGCCTGCTTGTGAAGGAGCTTCTGGTAGTACCTATATCCCGGTTTGGATTTGATATTATTTTGCAGAAGGGCATGTAGGTCTGGTTGGCTGCTGCTGACACGCCGAACATGAACACATACATTGTACATGTACATACATACATATCAAAACGAGCTGTGTTAGTGCGGGCTCATTAGGGTTTTCTGCACAGGCTGCAATGGACAAGAATCCGATTCCAATTATTTGGTTGGTGTTATGCACCACAGATCAGGCATCTGCAGATTTACAATGTAAACCAAGCCTGATATTCATCATTACCATCGTACATTTGGGCTACCATTAAACATACCAGAACAATCAAATGAGGTACAGACGAAAGGAAGCATAGGAACCTACTATACATGATACATCCATGTGCGGTACATCACGTCACAAACAAACCACAACACAACACCTCTTACCGAAGAGGAACCCTCTCCCCCTCTTCAATGTCCTCCTCTTCACTCTCCTCCTCTATCCTCCTATCACCCCCCTGGCCCTTCCCTCCATCGCCGTTGTAGTGACCATCAGGACGGTCATGGTAATCACTGAACCCCCCATGGCCATCATCACCATCATCACCACTATCACCATCACTTGGGTCGTCGCCATCTTCATTATAATCACGCTGCCGGGAATGCCTGTGCCATCTTCTCCTCCCTCTCCCCTCTCTCCCCTCTCTCCCCTCTCTCCCCTCTCTCCGCTCTCTCCACTCTCTCCTCTCCCCCTCGCCCTCCCCACCACTGTCACTGTTGTCCTCCCCATGGGAGTCCATCTCGTCCATTTCCCTCTCTTCCACATCATCCTGTAATGCCCGCACCTCCTCCTGCGCGGGTTGTTTAGTGAGTCGGGGAAGGGTGGGTTGGGGGGGGGGGGGGGGAAGAGGGGAAGGGGAGACGGGGGAAGGCAGAGAAAGCTCAGCCATAACGTCTCCTCTACATCATCCTGCAATGCCTGCACCTCCTCCCGCATGGTTTTTTGGGTGGGTTGGGAAAGGGTTGGTGTTGTGGGGGAGGGGAGGGGGAAGAGGGGAAGGGGAGAAAGGAGCAAGCAAAAAAAGCCCATCCATCTCCACTACCTCTCCACCACATCACCCTGCAAAGCCCGCACCCTCCTCCTGTGTGCGTGCGTGGTGGGTTGGGGAAAGGAGGGGGGCGGTTGTGGGGTTGGTGGAGGGGGGAAGGTGGGGGGAGACGGGGGAAGGCAGAATAATCAGACTCATCTCCCTCTCCCCCACGTCATCCTGTAATGCCCAAACGGGGGTGCCAGCCTATGGGCTGGTGCGCGTAGCCGATGTAGATTCAAAGCCCTCCTGCCATTGCAAAGCACGCACTCCTCACTCCCCCCCGTCAGATCCCTAACCTCTCTGCGCACATCTCCCCTTCACCCCACCACCCTACCTGGTCGGCAATGTGGGCGAAATTGGACATGGCCTGGTGCGTGTAGCAGAGAAGTAGGTTGACCCCCCCATCATATCCCTACGGTCTCTGGGCTTCTCCCCTTCACCCAGCCCTACCTGGTCAGCAATGCGAAGTTGGACAAGGCCTAGTGTGCGTAGCAGATGTAGATCCGCACGCCCAGGGAGGTCTCCCACGGCTTTCCGAGGTATTCTGAGTCACCCTCCATCACTCTCCCTTACATCTCAAAGCTTTCCTCCCAGCCTATGTAGCCCCCCAACCCAATACCCCCGCTGTCTGTCGCCCTACCTGGTCGGCAATGTGTACAAAGTTGGACATGGCCTGGTGCGCGTAGCAGATGTAGATCCACACGCCCAGGATGGACAGCATCACCAGCGCGCCAAACGCGCCCAGCACAGGCACGTACCACTGCATGGGGTGAGTGGGGGGGGATGGCGGATGGGGGATTGAGGGGAGGGATGGGGAGCATTGAGGAATGAACAAGGGCGGACGGACAGCATCATCAGCGCGCCAAACGCGCCCAGCACAGGCACGTACCACAGCATGCATAAGGGGGGGGGCAGGAGATTCACTGGAGACGGAAGGGGAGGGACGGGTATGGGAAATGAGGGTGCACGGCAGCATCAGCAGCGCACCAAAGATGGCCAGCATAGGCACGTACCACTGCACGTGGGGTAGCAGGGGCTTCAAGGGAACTTGGGGGGAAGGGCGGATAGTGGGTACGGATGTGAAGAATTGGGGAGTGACCGCAGACAGACAGCATCAACAGCGTGCACACCGAAGGCCCCAGCAAGCAAAGCACAGGCATGTAACAATGTAGCACACAGAAATCTGGGAAATGGGTATTTGTGGAGTGACAGCAGGACTCGGCGTGTGACTGACAGCCGATAGAGAACATCCATGATAAGTGTTTGAGAGGGGGTCAAGGCGGAAAGCAAGGCAGGAATCAGCGTGCAAAAAAGGACAAGGGCGCTGGACGCAGCAAGAGCCAAGTGGTGTGACGCTGGACGCTCGACGGCTAACAAGACGCAGAGGGATGCAGTTAGCGACACGCAAGGGAAAGAGAAAGAGGGGGAGGCAGCAGGTGCTCACCGATTGGTCTTCTTCCTCTGCCTGAGAATCATACGGAGATAATTCTTGGTGGTAGGCTGGTGGGTTGATGTGATATGGAAGCAAGAGGGGAAAGTTGGAAGGGGTGGGGAGGGGGGTGGGGAGGGGGGACATGGCAAGGGTCGGCATGGTGCAGGATAAGGGGGAATGATGTGAAATTGGGAAGAGATGGCAAATATCTAGTGAAGATAACTGATTTATGGGATGGGATGGGATGGGATGGGATTGGGGAGGGATGGGATGGGATGGGATTAGGGAGGGCGAGGTGGCAGGCCAGACAGCCACAGCACCCCAGAAACCTCCAAGAAACCTCCCAGGCCACTTCCAGGGGCACACGCCGCTCGTCTTACTGCAGAATACAGAACCCCCTCTTCTCCCCCATGGAGCAGAGCAGCTCGGAACCCCCCCAGACACGCACCGTCATAGAGCGAGCTAGAGAGTGCATTTGGCGTTCCCAAACCACTGCCGGGGGCACACGCAGCTCGCCTTACTGTGCCTACACAACCCCCTCTCCTCTCCCCCCTGGAGGAAAACAGCCCAAAGCCCCTTCAGAACGCACCGTCATAGAGCGAGAGAGTGCAGTTGGCGTTCCCAGACCACTGCCGGGGACACACGCAGCTGGTCCCGCTGTGACTGCACGACCCCCCATTGAAGCACAGTAACCCAGAGTCACCGCACTGCACGCCGTGGGCCTCGCAGTGCTGGCCCCCGTACCCCTGTGGACACCCCTCGCAGGTGTACTGTTCCCCCTGTACTATCTCCACGCACTGCGCGCCGTTGCCACAGAAGAAGGTGGATGTGTCCGCACACATGACTGCAGGGACCTCGCACTCTGTGCCGCTGTAGGGAGAGAAAGGTGGGGGAGGGAGAGGAGAAGGGGTGGGTGGGGAGGGGGGGGGAAGGGGGCATTAGGATGGACATGTGCGTAGCTGAGACCTTTGGGGAGAAACAGAGGGGGTCGGAGGGTAGGGCAAGAGGAGAGGAACTAGATGCACGAGACAACAGGCCAGAGTTTACTAGCGCTTGAAAGTGGCGGGTGCTTGAGAGTGTGGGAAGATCAGTGCGGGGAATTCGGAAAATTGGAAATGGGATGGTTGGAGAGGGGGGATGGGAGAGTCGTGTGAGTGAGCGTACACAAAGAATTGGGGATCCAGAGCCGAGCGAGGGTCGGGGCAGTCACAGAAATCGTCGCCGGTTCGGTTCCTGACACACACACCGCCATTCTTGCACTCTAACGTGGAACCACAGGACAACGCCGCGGCAGGCGCGCCTGGGCAGGCCACCGCTAGTAGGAGGAGGAGCAGGGGGAGGACGCGATTGTGATTAAAAAGGTGGCAATCGCGTTGGTCGTGCGTGCGATACCTGGAGCTTCTGTTCGTATGGGTCTGCACTGCTTCAGGACTACTGCGATAATCTAAAGTCCAAGCGAAGGTAATGGAATCGTCCAGCGGAAAATCTCGCCCTCCTGAGGCTGATGGAAGGGCGTGAGACGGTTCGAGGAAAGGATGCATCCTAGAACCATGCAGGCAGGGTTGCTCGAATCGAGTGGAGAGAAGTGGGGAGGGATGACGTGGATTCAAGGGAACGAGGAATAGAAGGTTGAGAGTGTAAGGTGGAACGATTCTGACCGCATCTTCGCAGGACAACAAACAAGGATGCTCAGCTGCATAGTCAAGGAATATCCGTATCGATGGGAAAACCCAGAACTGGAAGTCATCAACGGTAGATTCAGTTCCTGGAAATGCTTCAGGTCTGTGGTGGTGGACTGATCGGAGGAGTTGATTGCAGTTAGGAGGGATCTGAAGTGGGTAAATCTAGCTAAAGATGTAACCTACGGTAGTATTCCAACTTCAATTTGATGCCCAATATATGTGGCTACAACCCCCTTGAAATGGTGTAGTACAAGCATGAAATCCATATTTGCAGCAAGGACAAACGTGAAAGGAACCTACACATTGCTCGGGACCCGACATTTTCGAAGCGTGCACCAAACTGCACCAAGAACTAAGGTGCTCAAGTGCGTGCCATGGACTGCGCGCTCAATATTCGCTCCTGCGGTAGTACTGTGGTGGACGCCTTGACCTGATTAGAGAACAGGAGAATCAGGGGAGCATGCTCATACCGTATGATGTAGCATTCACATGGTATCTTGCAACAGATGAAATCTACATACCAATCCGCATTGTTCAACCTCTGAGTCTGTTCCTTCCACTGAGCACACTCTACCTGCACATTGGCCACATGAGTGCAGAAATCAAAAAGGCAATAGAATTATTAAAAAACTTGTAGATATGAGAGAGATAATATCCCACCTGGAGGTCAAACATTTCGCACGAAAGACGATCGTTCGTGGCCTCCAGCTCGAGAATCCTTTTCGACAATTCGGCGTTCTGATGGTTCACGGAGGCAGCTTCATGCTGCGCTCTCTCAAAACCCTGCACTTTAGAAGAGAGGCTCACAACCTGTTGCTTGAGAAGTGCAACCTCACGCTGTGAACCTTCAAGGCGCAGCAACTGGGCTGACATGCTTGCATTCTGCTTCCTCAGGGCTTCGACATCGTGGTAGGCCTTTTCAGCCTCGCGGAGCTGGTTGGAGAGGTTTACGTTTTGCTGCTGCAAAGCCAAAACCTCTTGGTGTACCCGTTCACTCTTGTGCAGGGACTTCAAGAGTCGGGCATTCTCCTGTTTCAACGTTGCAACCTCATGATAAGCGTTTTCAGCTTTCAGCAGACGACAACACTGGCCGTCGTTTTGTTGTGTCAACTCAGCAACTTTGTGTCGAAGCTCAGACAATTCAGTAACCATAGCTGCCACTTCTGAGGCTCCGGGCAGCATGGGTCCCTCTTCGTCCCCACCCTCATCTGTCAAGGGAGAAAAAACAAAATAGTTTGCGCAGGGTCATACTGAGGTGTCCCTTGAAATGTTTGCTGCATTATAGACTTACCTTGAAATGTTTGCTGCATGTTGCCAAGGTGATGCTCTTGGTCATGTGAGCCCATCTCATGTTCAAGCAACTGCCCAGTTTTGCCATTCATGAATGCAATACAATCGCGAGGGTTCAAATCCAGCTTTGGTGCCAACTGTTACATACCTTCGTTTCATCGTAGGCCATTCCGGTTTCACACACATGTGTAGAAAGGTCCTCTTGAAGCAAACCTGTCACGAGGACTGAAATTAGTTCTGACAGCTGAGAATGATGAACTCGACGACGACATCGTGCATACCAGCGTGTTCCACGAGAGTGCACTCTGGGATAATGGGTTGTCGGGGCTGTCGTAAATCAGCGTGATGACTAGAAAGGGCACTGATCCCCATATACATAGCAGAGCTTTTGTCAGCTTGAATCCCTTCTTGTTCATATCCCTCTATAGAAGCTCTTTCCGTAAAGAGCACTGTGGAAGTAGATGCCTTGATAGTTGTGAAATGATCAACTGGAGATGCTTTGACCAGCCGATCAAAGGCTTCTTGTTCGCTTCCAAGGCTGCTAGAATCAAGTCTGCCTGAAGTGAGAAACGCAAGAGTCAACAAGTTAGCAAGCGATGTTATTCACAGAGAATAAACAGCATGTGCTCACTTGTTTCACTCGTGGTTCCATCACATCCGCTGGGCTGTGACAGATTGCAGTTTGTAGAGTCTCTCTGTACCGGCATTGAGTCCCTTCCCCCTTGCTTCGTGGATGGAGTGGCCGAAGGTAGAACTATTGCCTGAAAAGATATTTCAATGCCAACACTTTTAGGCATAAGGAAAAAAATCAACCAAAAAAAAAAGAAGCATTACCTCCTCTGTGTAAGGCTGGTACTTTTCTTCTGACATGAAGGAAGCAGCTTCTTCTGTGCCGGTTCTTGTATGAGGAACCATGGCTGGGACTTGGTCTTCATCTTCCGTGTCATGAACGAGTGCCTCGGATTTTAGGTCTTCGAGGTCATCAACAAGCAACTCTCCAAAAATAGAGCTCTCAGCAATTTTATCATCTGAGAGTTTAGCCTCTGAAGGTGCCTTTTCTGGAGACATAGCAGCACTGGTCTCATCATTTCTGATGTCAAAAAGTTTAGCCCCTAAAGGAGCCTGTTCAGGAATTAAATTGGCGGCAGGCTCATCACCTGCACAATCACCACCGATGGTGCTTTCTCGAACTTCGAAACAAGATTGCGCCTTCTCACAAGGCTTACTGCTTTCCAAGTGAACACAGACTTTTGGCGAACCACTCTCATGTCCTGGCTGGCGAGACTCCTGCGCACCAATTTCTGGAGCATTTCCAGCATTCATGACTTCTTTTGGCGTCTGATTTTGCAGGAAAAAAAGTTCAGCAAAGATAGTCGGGGTGGGTCAAATCAAAACCCTTAAAGTTGTCACCCACCTCAACTGATAGCTCGATTGGACTGCCGTTTGCATCCTTGTCTTCGACGTGTAAACTCAGACAGTTGCCTGGATCACGCTCGCCCTTTCCAATCCCGGCAGCAGAAAGAACACCACTATCAGCATGCAGGACGCCTTCATCGATCTGCTTTGCAGGGAAATTAGTTAGCATAGATGTGGTGGACAAAACCCTGTATGTCGGTTCCCACCTCTTTGGTTGACGACTCGATTTGGTTGTTTGCATCCTTCTCTTCGACATGTATACTCAATCCAGCGCTTTCATCACGCTCTGCCCTTCCTGTTTCAACAGCAGATAGCACACCGTCGCCAGGGTACTGGACGCCTCCATGGATCTGGTTTTGCAGGGAAAGGGGTCAGCAAAGATAGATGTGGTGGTAAAAGCCCTGAACTCGGTTCCTACCTCTTGAATGGATGGCATGACTTGATTGTCGTTTGCATCCTTGTCTCTGATAACCATACTCAGGCCATTGCTTTGATCACGCTCAACCCTTCCGGCCTCAACAGCTGAAAGCGCACCATCGTCTGTGTGCTGGACATCTTCATTCATCTGGTTTTGCAGGGAACATCGTCAATAAGGATCGCTGTGGAGGCCAGAATTTATTAATCGGTCCTCACCTTCGCCGCTGAAGGCTCAACGTCATCATCGTTTGCATCCTTTTCTTTGATGAATGTGGTCCGATCATTGCTCGGATCACACTCACCCATTCCCGACTCAGTAGCAGAAAGCACGTTGTCTTCATTGCCCTTCGCTATGGAACGAAGCTTGGATTCCTTAACATTGCCTTCAAGTGCTTGACCACTGCTGACACAAGGTGTGTCACTTCCAGAAGCAGGTATCGTGAAAGTTTGATTGTCTAGATTGCGACGTCCCTCTTCTGCTTTGTCTTCACGAGCCTCAAGGTGGTGGGGGGAGTTTTTCGAATGAAAAAGGGCCTCCAAGCCCGTTCCTTCTCCGATTAGTGAGATCTGTATTGTAAAGCACACTCAGATCGAAAGTTCAAAGCCTTGAGCAATGCAGAATGTTCAAACCTTTGGAATGGGATCTTCGTCAATCTCTTCGCCTTCACCATTCTCATTGTGCTGGTTCAGACGTGAAGAGTCACGTTGACTATCCGTGTTTTCCGGAGGTTGCGAGCTGACATCTGGACAGGCAGGCGTATAAACCTCCTCAGCGATTTGACACTGCTCAGTAGTCTTTGTTTCGTGTTGTTCCTCGGCCTCACTAGTCAGACAAATATTCGCAACTACGAGAGTAGCGTCTGACGTAGGAATCTTGGTGTCATCCTTCACCCTCTTCTTCGCAGCTTGCCTTGCAGCCTTTGGAGGTGCCTTTCTCTTGGCTTTTCGAGCCATGGTGACGAGGAATGAGAAGGAAGGGCAATGGTGGAGTTTTTGCACGAACAAAGCAACACTACCACTCTAAGGTAATTCAAAATGGCAGAAATCCTGTCGGAGCTGCGAGAAAGTTCGATAAGAAAACTCAAGACCAAATTCAAGAAAATAGGAAATGGAAGATCAACCCATACACATTTCTTCTTTTCCCTGTAGAAGGTTGCGTGAGCATATGCATTATTTGAACTATAAATTCTGAAACATATAGAAATTATATTTTTTCTCAAATATGATGGGCTGAGAAAAAGCCCTTAGGATCTTTCCAGAGACTCAGTCCCAGTTGTAAAGACTTGAGTAGTGCAACGGAAGTTGAGTAGTTGAACCCTTGTACTAGTATATGAGAACAAGTGATTGATTAAAAGAAACAAGCATACAGCAATATATAGAAAATAGGAAAGTAAAGCAGTTGTAGAATACAGTTGCAGAAGCGGTTATCGAGTCGCACAGCGACTCGATTGTCGCTTCGGTTACCATCCGCGCAGTTATAACGGTCAGTCGCAACCTCCAGTTGTGACCCTTCGAGTCCCTTCGCGTTCTTTGTCCACCCCCTCGTGTAACCTCCGTTGACTCGCGTACCCGTTACGATCTTCTTCGAGTGTAGTGTTACACTTCAGAAACGCTTAAGTCCTTTGAGATATTTCCAACACTCCCATTCGTTTATGGAGTGCTGACGTGTTCGGATCAGGTGACGTTTGTCTGCCCGGTCAGCAGCGTGCAGTACTCGAACTTTGCCTTCGCCAATTTCTTCGTTAGATAATTTGCGGCCATTTCTGTCGTAGGGCAGTAACTGAGTTGAAGTCTCCCCTTCGCGATTTCATCCTTGACGAAGAAGTACCGCAGGGCGATGTGCTTGGTTCGGTTGGCGAAGCCCTCCTTGTTCGCGATTTTGATCGCAGATTGGTTGTCGCAGAGAAGTGAGAAGACGGGCAGGGTCGCAATCTTGCTTCCTCGAGTAACTCTCGCAGGAAAAGTCCTTCCTTGGTCGCGGTGCAGAGGGCGATATATTCTGCTTCAGCCGAAGACAGTGCGATTAGTTCCTGTTTGCTCGACTGCCAGGAGATAGTCCCGATAGGTTCTAGTCGGTAGATGTAGCCCGTCCTTGAGCGTCGGTTTTCCCTGTCTCTTGCGTGGTCGGTGTCGACGTATCCGAGTAGTTGTACGGACGATGTCGTTACTTTACTGTAGGTAAGTCCGGTCGTCGGCGTGGAGACGAAGTAGAGTAGTGTCCGATTAAGTTCCTCGATATCTTCTTGTTCCGGCTGCTTCAGATGCGTCGCTAGTTGGCTCGCGCTATAAGATAGGTCGGGTCGACAGGTTACTGCTGCGAATAGAAGGTAGCCGAGCTTCTGCTGATACTCCTGGATTTGCTTCGCGGGGAGTTTTGCGGAGGTGTTACTGTTGTTCCCGTAGCGGTAGGAAGTTGTCACCGTAGTCGGCGTTAGCCCGAATTTCTTCGCGACAACGCCTGCTATTTTCCAGCGTGTAGGTAGAACGCCGAGTTGTCTTCAACGACATTCAGTCCCAGGTATTGGGTCACTGTGTCGGACACCGTGAGTGTCAAGTCCCCTTTCAACTCCCCTTCGAACCAGGTGACGATGTCGGTAGTGGAATCGATGTAGAGCAGGTCGTCGACGAAAACGGTGAGTAGGATATACTTTCTTCCCTTCTGCAGTCGGTACATGCCTTGGTCATGCGGCAGCTGTAGGAATCCGATTTTTACGAGGCAACTTTTAAGATGCTGCTGCCAGAGCCGCGGGGCTTGCTTGATCCCGTAAAGGGATTTTATCAGCTGCCATACTTTTGTGGGGTCGTCGATGAATCCGTGGGGTTGCTCGACGAAGATCTCAGCGTCCACAGGTGCGTACAGGAAAGCATTTGCAACGTCGATTTGGCGCAGTCGTAGTTTCTTCGTGGCCGCAACGGCGAGTAAGATGCGCAAGGAGGTGTGACGGGAGACTGGGGCGAATGTTTCTGTGTAGTCGGTTCCGTATCGTTGATCGAAGCCTCGTACGACCCATCGGGCCTTGAATCGTTCGATGGAACCGTCCGCATTGGTCTTGATGCGGTACACCCACTTTCCCGAGAGGACGTTCTTCCCGTTGATGCTTGTTGCAGGTACCAGCTTCCATGTATTTCGGTCTTGCAGAGCTTTTAGTTCCTTTTCCATCGCCTCCTTCCATTTCGCCTTATGTTCTCCCCCCAGAGCCTGTAACAGAGTCGCAGGCTCGCGCGGAGATGGCGGCGGTGGATGCTGGACGGAGACCCATAATCCGAGGATTTGCAGTCCCGTGGGTGTGTGTCGAGGGGAATTTTCATTCCCGGAGTAGGCTGCTTCGTCACCATCTTCTCGATCAGGTAAGAAGTTTGGGCCAATGCGTTCTGAGACATTCGTGTCGACCGGGTGAGGTGTAACGTAACCTTGGTCAGCGAAGTGGTAAAGGGTGTCGAGGTTGTTGCTATCGAGAGGATAGTCGTCGTCGAGTGGGACTGGCACGGAGCAGTAAGGGAGTGGTCCGGCAGCTTCCGAAGCTCCAGGTACGTCTTCTTCTGCTGCATCAGTCTCAGCAGCACGGTCAGCGAAGGAGCGAAGGCCTGCGACACCGTCGGTGGGGTCGTTTGTGTTGGCGACGTTGTCCAGGTAATGCTGCAGCGTCAGTCGTTCGTAGAAGATCACATTACGTGATGCCACTGTATTTTTGTCGTGTATGTCGAGGATTTTCCATGCTTGAAAATGTTTTGCGATGCCGAGGTGTAGTCCCCATCGTGCTCGTTGAGTGAAACGTCCTGCTCTGGCTGTGTGGGGTCTGTACTGTACCATGCAACCGAAAACCCGAAGTAATTTTGTGCTGCCCCTTTTTCGTGTCCACAGCAGGTGCGGTGATGCGTTGTTGGGGAGCGATGACGAGGATAGCAAATTGTGCAGGTGGACTGCATGGGTCATCGCGTCTGGCCATAGTGCGTTGGGCAGTCTCATCCCCAGGAGCAGCTTCCGCATCGTCGTCTGCAAGGTCCGGTTCATTCTTTCTGCGACCCCCTGTTGCTGGTGAGCGTAGGGTAGAGACACCGGGCGTCTGATTCCTCTTTCCGCCGAGTAGGTCCTGAATCGTTGTGACTGGTATTCCAGTGCGCCGTCGGACTGGAAACTCTTGAGCGTAGTTCCTGATTCTCGTTCAGCGATTGGGAGCCACGTCGTGAAGGCTTCGAAAGCTTGATCTCGCGTCTTGAGGTTGTAGTGCCAAACATATCTTGTTGCTGCATCGATAAAAGTGATGACGTAGTTGAAGTCGGCTTCCGTGTCGTCTCGAGGCATGTTTAAGATGTCGCTGTAAACCTTTTCCATCGGTGCATATGCAGGTGCACTTGGATTGTGATGTGATGGGAAGGGTTGATGGGGAAGATCTGCTTCGGGGCACGTGAAGCACCGTGCGCGAGGTCGTCGAAGTTCTTGGCCGTTTGTTGTAAGAAGAGCGTTTCGTTCTAACACTTCGGCTTGGATGGTTTGTAGTACCGTGCTGTTTGCAGGATACCCAAGGCGTTGGTGCCAGATGTCGTCGGAAGCGCGATGGCCGGGCGAGCGTTGGTACATGTCGATGTTGGAGAAGAACGCGACGACCGTGGCGATACTTCGGCAGACTTCTCGTGTGATGGGCATAAGTTGATCTGCTTCGGTTGGCGGTCCTCGGATCGCTGGTGGTGGTACTCGACTGGGTCCTGCTGCTGCTACTGCAGGTGATGGTTGGGAAGGGACACTTGCTGGTACTTGTCTTTCTTATCTGATGACTGCTAACGCTCGTGTTCTCTCTGCTGCAGGTATGGTGTTGGAGTACCAGAATCCATCGGGGTTGAAGTCGGGATCAATATCCGGTGGGTGTGTCCAGGCGGCGAAAGACACAATCCCATCGCTGTCGGCAGTACCGCGGTTGGGGACGAAGTCTAACACGAAGACGCCGGACTTCAGGAGAGCACGACCGATGAAGAGGCCGCCTTTCCTGTAGTAAAGACGAAACTCGTTGGAGTCCGAGTCGCACTCCAGGTGAATTCCTTTTGCCATTAGCTGGCTGACGCCTAGCAGATTGTATCCCAAGTTGTCGACGATTAGGACCTTGTTGAGTTGCTGGATGACATTTGTTTCCATGGACTGTAACTGAACCACTCCTTGTCTGTTTGTTTTCAGGTTCTCGTTGTTGGCGACGGTGATGATGACGTCGCGGTTGAGGCGTCGCTCTCGTTGCACGAAGCGTCCGGAAGAACACATGCGTTGACCGCAGCAGCTATCCAAGAACCAGGTGTTTCGCCCGGTAGGTTCGGCGTTGGCGACCGCAGCGTATGTCGGGTTGACCCGAAGTCTTTGTGAGCGCGGCGGCGTGAGTTCTTCTTCGTCTGGTGCGTAAGTGGGTGGTGATCCGGGTGTGCAGTTGTCGATGTGTACCATACAGTTGATGATGTTCGGTGTCCCTTGTGCAGATGTGGAAGAACGCCTTGGAGGGCTTTCTTGAGTGGAAGCGACTTGTGGGTCTACTGGACGATAAACACGAGGACGTGTGCAGTTGACTTTGGAATGTCCGGATGTTTGACAGTTGTGGCAGAACGGCGGCACGATGGTGAGTCCTTTGTTGTCGCGTTGATCTTGCTTGTCGCGTCGATTGTAGTTGTTGTCGTTCCTTCGTTGAGTGTAGAAAACTAACTGCTGCTGCTTCCTTGGTTGTCTTTCTTCGAACAGGTCCATCTCTTGTTGTTCAGCATGAAGCTCGGCGCAGAGGTGCATCTCCGAGATCCTTCCGTGGGCGCGAAGAAGCGAGCGTGTGGTTCTCCATTCTGGCCCGAGCCCGGCGAGGACAAGTCTCATGAAGCTTTCTTCAGTGATTGTTCCTCCGCACCGAAGCAGGCGGTCGCGGAGTGTTTGGCATCGACTCATATACTGCATCTCCTTTTCCCCGGTCTTCATTTGTATTGTTGTCAGCTGCTGCATGAGTCTGCTTTG